TCTTCGGGAATTTTTAGAGTTCATACAACATACCTTTCCAACGTAATCATTCGCATCACCTTCCAACTCCACTGTAATACCTTTGGCGAGGAACGCGCAAAACGATTGACCGGCTGAGCCTTCTAAAGTTATTTTTATAGATCTTGCGCCATTCAGTCCTTCTTCGCCATAGCGTTTGGAGATCTTGAATTGACATTTGATTTTGTCATGGTATACGGAACCATGATACAGATGATTGAAACCTCATAGCTGATTCTGGTGCCAAATGCCCGATCCAAATTAGTGATTTTTTTCAGTGATCTTCAAATGTTGCCCAGGTTCAGCAAAAACTTTCGGCAAATACTTCAAAATTTCTCTCTCTAGCTCACCAAGTTCGACAGTCTAAATAATGGTATTATGCTGGATTCAAATTCGTTCCTCTTAATATCTTCACCTGGTTAATGGTTCCACTTTTGGTGGATACGTTGGGAAACATCTGATGAATATTTTTCAGAATGCATCCAAATTCAAGCAGTATTGCCTACGAAGAAAAGTTCTCCGACCACATTTGAGGGAAAAACTTAACTCATACCTTCTTATTGACTGGGTTTCGACTAGCATATAAAAGATCTGTTCGTCCAATAGCCTCACTAAGAGTGCGGAGACCCAATCGCGATAGGAAGTAGCGAACCTCTTCGGCTACCATAAACATGAAGTTCACTACATGTTCTGGTTTTTCTTCGAATTTAGCTCGGAGAATAGGATCCTGAAAAGTCAAGGGCGAACATATTAGGATATCTAGATATAAAAATTGGCTGAGAAAAAAACTGGATTATTCAAAGTTTTTGATAAAAGAAAATGATGCACCTGCGTAGCAATTCCTACAGTACAGGTGTTCAGATGGCATTTTCGCATCATAGTGCATCCAAGAACATGAGAGGTGCGGTGGACATTCCGAACTCGTCTGCTCCTAGCAGCGCAGCTACCATCACATCACGACCTCAATAAATGTAAAATGGGAGTTTTCTTATCAACTCGCCATGATGCTTACCAGTTCGAATCTGTACATCAGCTTGTAGCTTGAGCATTAGCTTTGACTCGGCTCCAAAGGTTATTCATTGTGAGAACTTGATGAGTTTCAGCGACGCCAAGCTTCCATGGTAAAGCAGCATGTTTGATGCCAGTCCAGCTGAAAATGTAACCCAGGATGCTTCACTAAAAATTATCCCAAGAAGATGTACCTGGAAGCGCCAGTGCCACCATCGTGACCCGATATCGTAAGATGATCCACATTTCCTTTCACAACACCCGATGCAATGATGCCCACACCCGCCTCAGAGACAAGTTTCACACTGACTCTAGCTTCGGGATTGGCACATTTGAGATCATATATCAACTGTGCTAGATCCTCAATTGAATAGATATCATGATGCG